CACATGTCAGACGAAGACGAGATCATCCTGTCGGAACTGTCGGACGACGAGCTTGTCCAGCAGATGCATGACGACCTTTATGACGGTCTGAAGGACGAGATCACCGAGGGCACGCAGATCCTGCTCGATCGCGGCTGGGCGCCCTATGACGTGCTCACCAAGGCTCTGGTCGAGGGTATGCGCATCGTCGGCGAGGATTTCCGCGACGGCATCCTGTTCGTGCCCGAGGTGCTGCTGTCGGCCAATGCGATGAAGGCCGGCATGGCGATCCTGCGCCCGCTGCTTGTCGAGACCGGCGCGCCCAAGTTGGGCAAGATGGTGATCGGCACCGTCAAGGGCGACATTCACGACATCGGCAAGAACCTGGTCGGCATGATGATGGAAGGCGCCGGCTTCGACGTGATCGATCTGGGCATCAACAATCCGGTCGAGAACTATCTCGAGGCGATCGAGAAGGAACAGCCCGACATTGTCGGCATGAGCGCCCTTCTGACGACGACCATGCCCTACATGAAGGTCGTCATCGACACGATGAAGGAAAAGGGCATCCGCGACGATTACGTGGTGCTGGTCGGCGGCGCGCCGCTCAACGAGGAGTTCGGCCGGGCGATCGGCGCCGACGCCTATTGCCGGGACGCCGCGGTTGCCGTCGAGACGGCCAAGATGTTCATGAAGCGCCGCCACAACCAGATGGAAAACGCCTGACCTTCGCCGGGCTTTGGCGCAGTGCTCGAGCGGCTCCGGACCATCGTTTCCCGTGATTTTCTCGCCGATACGACGGCACTCGTGGTGTTCTTCACCATTGCGGGCATCATCAACGAGCGGTTCGTCGCCGGAATGGCCTGGGATGAGGTTGCCCGTTCGCGCGCGATCGGCGCGCCGCTGATGGTGCTGACGGCGCGGCCCTACGGCATCTGGCGGGACTGGGTCATGGCACGCGCCAAAACGTCCGGCCGCATCAGCCGCTTCGCCCACGACGTCGTCGCCCTGCTGCTGTTCCAGGTGCCGATCTACGTTGCGATCATCTATGCGGGCGGCGCGACCGGTGATGCGCTCTGGCGCGGCGCCCTGGGGGCCGCCGTCTACATGCTGGTGCTTGGACGGCCCTATGGCCTGTGGCTGGACGTGGTGCGGCGATGGTTCGGTCTGAAGGGACCTGGCCAGAAGCCCATGTCGTTGGGCGGCTGAACTCAGCCGTCGCGCCAGGTCACCAGCTTGGTGACGGCGAAGTTGAACAGCGCGCTCATCACCGCGCCCGACAGGCCCGCCAGCCAGACCGGCGCACCGAACTCGAATATGCGTTCGGCGACGGCCAGATTGCCCAGCGCGCCGATCGAGCAGATGGCATAGAAGGTCGCCAGCCCGCGCCAGAACCGCAGTCCGGCGAGCTTGCGGTGGGCGAAGGTGACCTCGTTGTTGAACGCGAAGTTCGTCGTCATCGCGATATAGGTGGCGATCGTCTGCGACAGGGTGAAGTTCATCCCGGATGCCGACAGGCCGTAAAGCGATGCCATGTGGACCACAAGACCCGACGTGCCGACCAGCGCGAACAGCAGGAACTGCGCCGGCACAAGCCCGCCCGTATAGCGCGAAACGAGAAGGCCCAGAAACTGCACCGTCACCAGAAAGCCAAGCTTGCTCTCGCCGGCCACCCGTTCGCGGAACTCGAACGGCACCTCGCGTATGTCCAGCTCTGCGCCGCGGCGGCTGACAATGTCGAACAGGATCTTGAACCCCTCGCGCGACACCGTGCCCGCGACCGTGTCGGCGACGTCGCGCCGCAGCATGAAGAACCCGCTCATCGGGTCGGTCGTGTAGCTGCCGGTGATCATGTTGGCGAGCGACGTGGCAAGCTCGCTGCCCTTGGCCCGCGATTTCTTGTGGAAGCCGCCGCCGGCCCGGGTTCCGTCGACATAGCGCGAGCCGATCACCAGATCCGCCCCGTCGGCGATCTGGGCAAGCATGACCGGCAGCCGCGTCTCGTCATGCTGCATGTCCGCATCCATGACGGCAACGACCGGCGCGTTGGCCGCCATCATCCCTTCAAGGCAAGCGCCCGAAAGGCCGCGCCGTCCGACCCGGCGGATGCAGCGCACATGGGGATGCGATTTGGCAACCGCGCGGGTGACCGCCGCGGTCCCGTCCGGACTGTCGTCGTCGACGACGATGACCTCATGCGCGATCCCGCCCATCGCATCGGCGATCTTGCCGACGATGACGGGAATGTTCTCGGCTTCATTGTAAGTGGGCAGCACGACCGTCAGTTCCGGCGCCGCTGTCGGCAGGCGCGGATCGCTGTCCAGGTTCGGAGAAATCGTCTGGTGCTTCAAGCGCTGATTCTCGTTTTGCCGTGCCCGCCGGTCCTACACCGGATGACGCAAAGGCGGCAATCGGCTAGGAGATTACAGTTTCGCAATCCTATCGCGCGCCGTGATGCCAAACAGTAAACGACAACCCGCCGCCCAACCCGTCCGCGTCATCGGCTGCGGCATGATCGCGCGCGAAATCCTCGACGTGTGCCGCGCCAACGGGCTCGATCACGTCTCGCTGACCTGTCTGCCGGCCGACTTCCATCACCATCCCGAGCGCATCGCTCCTGCCGTCGATACGGCGATCCAAAGGGCGCGCAATGAGGGCTTCGAGCAGATCTTCGTCGGCTATGCCGATTGCGGCACCGGCGGCGACCTCGACCGTGTCTGCGAAAGACACGGCGTCGAGCGGATCGCCGGTCCGCATTGCTTTTCCTTCTATATCGGCAACGCCGCCTTCGCCGACGCCGATGAAGACGATTACCTGACCACCTTCTTCATGACCGACTTTCTTGCCCGCCATTTCGATACGTTCCTGATACGCCCGCTCGGTCTCGACCGGCATCCCGAATTGCGCGACATGTATTTTGCCCATTACACCCGGCTGCTCTATATCGCCCAGACGGACGACGCCGACCTGACCGAAAAGGCACGGCACGCCGCGGACCGCCTTGGCCTTGCCTTCGAGCGCCGCCTGACCGGTTATGGTGACCTCGCCCCGGCCCTGGTTGCCGCGGCATCGCCGACAGACAAAAGTCTGTAAAGAAAATCGTGTCATGATGGGGCACGAAACGGGATTGACGCCCATGGTGCCAACAGCCAGCCATGACCCAACGGCCGATGTTTGATCAGACCCCCATCGCCGGCGCGGCGGTCGATACGCCGGTCCTGCCGCCATACCGGCCGCGGCCGCTGTCCGTCGTGCTGCGCGAACTGGCCGCGCGCGAACAGGGCGACGTGACGGTGCGCTGCATCCGCAACGCCCTCGCAGACCGTTCGTTCGCCACCTTCCTGGTGTTCACCTGCGTGATCAACATGCTGCCCTTTCCGCCCGGTTCGACGGTCGTTCTGGGCGTGCCGATCGTTCTGGTGGCGCTGCAGATGGTCGCTGCCCGCGACACGGTCTGGCTGCCGGAGTTCTTTTTGAAGCGCTCGATGAGCCAGGAGAGCTTCAGCCGGATGACCCGCCGCGTCATTCCGCTTCTCGAAAAGCTCGAAACCTGGATTCGTCCACGCCGCTGGCCGTTCACCAGCCATCGCGCCGCCGAACGGATCGTCGGCCTTTATGCGCTGATCCTGGGCGTGGCGGTGATCATCCCGGTGCCCTTCGGCAACTGGCTGCCAGCCTTTGCCTGCGCGATTTGCGGGCTTGCCCTGTCCGAGCGCGACGGCGGATGGCTTTGGATCGGCATCATCACCGGAGCCATATCCATCCTTGTCATCTTCGCGGTCGTTTTCACGGCCGGCGCGTTCGCACTGCACTGGATGGGCGGCTAGATGCCAGCTTCCATCGCCGTCCTGACCGCCGGCGGCCAGGCGCCGGCGATGATCGTCAACGCGCTCCGCGCGCACTATCGCGACCTCATCGTTTTCAGGGAACCGCCCGAATCGCGCGGCGCGTTCCTCAAGCGCCGCGCCCGCAAACTGGGCTGGCTCCAGATCGCGGGACAATTTCCGGTCATGGTCGGCTCGCGCCTCTCAAAGAAGATGCTCGACGCCCGCTTCGCCGAACTTGAAACCCGGTATGGCGTGTCGATGACGCTGCCGGATGCGCTGGACGTGCGCCCTGTTCCGTCCGGCAACGATCCCGCCTTCATTCAGGCTCTTGAAGCGGCCGCACCCGACCTCTTGTTTCTGGTCGGCGCCCGGATGCTCAAGCGGTCGACGCTCGACGCCATCGCCTGTCCGGTCGTCAACTTCCATGCCGGCATTACGCCGCACTATCGCGGTCTGAACGGCGGCTACTGGGCGCTGGCCGAGGGCCGGCCGGATCTCTACGGCGGCACCATTCACCGCGTCGATGCGGGCGTCGATACCGGAGCGGTCATCGCCCAGAAGGTTTGCGAGCCCGGGCCTTCGGACACCATATTCACGCACCAGCATGTCATCACAGCGCAATGCGCCGAACTGTGCGCGGCGGCTGTCGACGAAGCGCTGGTGGGCCGCGTGATGGACCCGCAGCCGGCAGGCCCGTCGCGGCAATACTACCATCCGACCCTTTGGGGCTGGATCGGCACGGGTCTGCGACGCGGCGTGTGGTAGGTGCGACAGCCTGTCGCTTTTGGATTTGAGCGCGTCGCCCGCAAGGAAGCCGCGCACCGTGATCTCCAACATTGTCATCGCTGAAAGGACTTCGAATTGGCTGACCGGATCATCGTCTACTGGCGCGACATTCCTGCCCAGGTGATTGTGAAGAAACGGCGCGACGCCGCGAAGCGCGAACTGTCGCTGCGTTTCACCGAGGCGATCGACATGTGCGCCATGCGCGTCGGCGCAAGGGATAGCGATGCCTATCTCGCCGAGTGGCGCAAGGGCGATCCCGAAAAGGTCAGCGACGATCTGGAGGCCGAGGCCGACAAGGCGGCCAGGACTCTTGAAGACGACTATACGCCCGAACGTCTGAAGGCCCTGATCAAGGCCGAGGGGTTCGAGACCGACAACGCCGCATAGCGGCACAACGGAACCGGTGCCATGAACCAGCCGCGCATACCCGCCTCGATCGAGGTCGCTCCCAAACAGGCCATCGAATCGGCCGACCTGCCCGGCCTGTTTCCGCCCGGCACGCGCGTCTACATCACCGATGTCGGCTCCGACCCCTCTCCCACGCTCGTCCGCGCGGCACGGCGCGTGCGCGAGCTTGGATACGAGCCGGTGCCGCATTTCGCATCGCGCCGGCTGACCACCCGCACCGCGCTCGATGAGCGCGTCAGGGCGACCGTTGCCGAAGCGGGCGTCACCGACATTCTGGTGATCGGCGGCGGCCTGGAAAGACCTGCAGGCGCCTTCACCTCGACGATGGAAGTGCTGGAGACCGGCATTTTCGACGCCAACGGCATCACCGATATCGGCATAGCCGGCCATCCCGAAGGATCGCCCGATTTCAACGAACAGGTGGCGCTGGAAGCGCTGCGCCTGAAGAAGAATTTCGGCGAGCGCACCGGCGCGCGGATGCGCATCGTCACCCAGTTCGGCTTCGATGGCGAGAGATTTGCGCGCTGGGCCAACGGCTTGCGTGACAATGGCATCGACATGCCGGTGCATCTGGGCGTCGCCGGGCCGGCCAAGGTGACAACGCTGATCAAGTTCGCCGCCATGTGCGGCGTCGGCAATTCGCTGAGCTTCTTCAAGCGCAACACGCGCTCGATCGCCACGCTGGCCACCTCCCATTCGCCCGAAAGCGTCGTCGGCCCGATCGAACAGGCCTGGCGCGACAATCCCACCGGCGCCATCCGCCAGATCCACGTTTTTCCGTTCGGCGGCATCAAAAAAGCCGCCGAGTGGCTTGATCAGCGCGGCTCATGGGATATAAAGACATCTTTATATCCTCATGTTCAATCGAACGGCCACTGACAAGCGTCACGCGTTGGGACCCACATCATCATGACACGCACCGTTGTCGCCTCCGCGACCAAGGAAACCATCATCGGCTTCGACCAGCCCTTTTGCGTGATCGGCGAGCGGATCAATCCGACCGGCCGCAAGGTGCTCAATGAGGAGCTGGAGCGCGACGACTTTTCGCGCGTGGAAGCCGATGCGATTGCGCAGGTGGCAGCGGGTGCGACCGTGCTCGACATCAATTCCGGCGCGGTCTTCTCGGGCAAGATGGCCGAGGACCCGCGCTACGCCGACAACAATTTCGTCGAACCGATGCTGATGCCCAAGCTCATCGAGGTCGTCCAGAACGTCACCGACTGCCCCTTGTGCATCGATTCCTCGGTGCCCGGCGCGCTGGAAAACGGTCTGAAGGCCGCCAAGGGCCGCCCGCTTCTCAATTCGGTCACCGGCGAGGAAGAGCGGCTGGAACTCGTCCTGCCGCTGGTCAAGAAATACGATGTGCCGGTCGTTGCGATCTCCAACGACGACACCGGCATTTCCGAGGACCCGGACGTGCGCTTCGCCGTTGCCAAGAAAATCGTCGAGCGCGCCGCCGATTACGGCATTCCTGCCCACGACATCGTCGTCGACCCGCTCGTTATGCCGATCGGCGCCATGGCGACCGCCGGCCATCAGGTGTTCACGCTGGTGCGCCGCCTGCGCGAGGAACTGGGCGTCAACACCACCTGCGGCGCGTCCAACATCTCGTTCGGTCTTCCCAACCGGCACGGCATCAACAATGCGTTCCTGCCCATGGCGTTCGCCGCCGGCATGACCAGCGCGATCATGAACCCCGTCGCGCTGCCGGTCGGCCCGACGAAAATCGCCGAAAAGCGGGCCGAAGTCGAAGCCGCCGGCATCGTTCTGCCGCCGGACATGGACGACGAAACCTTTGTCCGGCTGTTCGGCCTCGGCTCGACCAAGCCCCGCCCGGGCAAGGAGATGGAGGCCATCCGCGCCGCCAACTTCCTGCTCAATCACGATGATGGCGGCGGCGACTGGATCAAGTTCAACAAGCCCGCCTCCGCCTCGGCAGCCAACACCAATGCCCGCGCCGGCGGCCGTCGTGGTGGCCGTGCTGCACGTGCGCGGGGGTGAACCCGGTTCTTCCCTCCCCCTTGAGGGGGGAGGGATGTGAGCACATCGGGGTTAGGAAAAACTCGGAAGCCAGCACCCTCATCCTGAGGTGCGAGCGCAGCGAGCCTCGAAGGGCGAGGGTGCGATACAGGGAACTAACACGTGACCACCCAAGACCCCCTCGTCCTGTTCATGCCCTCCGGCCGCCGCGGGCGCTTTCCCAAGGGAACGCCGGTGCTCGACGCCGCGCGTGACCTCGGCGTCTATGTGGAATCGGTCTGTGGCGGGCGTGGCATTTGCGGGCGCTGCCAGGTGGAAGTGGCCGAAGGGCGGTTCGCCAAGCACGGCATCACATCGTCAAGCGATCACATCTCCGCCTTCGGCGCCAAGGAACAGCGCTATGCCGAAAAGCGCGACCTGAAGGACGGCCGGCGCCTGTCCTGCTCGGCGACCGTTCAGGGCGATCTTGTCATCGACGTGCCCGCCGATGCGCAGGTCAACACGCAGATCGTCCGCAAGGCTGCCGACACCAAGGTCTTCCCGCGCAATCCCGCGCTCCAGCTCTGTTATGTCGAGGTCGAAGAACCCGACATGCACAAGCCGCTGGGCGATCTCGACCGGCTGTTCGCCGCGCTGCGCGACCAATGGGGCTTTGACGCCCTCGGCGCCGACCCGCATTTGCTGCCGCAGGTGCAATCGATCCTGCGCAAGGGCCAGTGGCAGGTCACCGCCGCCGTCCACCAGCCCGAAACGGACGGCCCGGCTACCCTCGTGGCCGTCTATCCCGGGTTGAAGAACGAAGCCTACGGCATTGCCTGCGACATCGGCTCGACGACCATCGCACTGCATCTGGTCTCGCTGCTTTCGGGGCTGACGATTGCCTCATCGGGAACGTCAAACCCGCAGATCCGCTTCGGCGAGGACCTGATGAGCCGCGTCTCCTACGTGATGATGAACCCGGACGGCCGTGAAGCGATGACCAAGGCCGTGCGCGACGCGGTCAACGAACTGGTCGCCGAAACGGTCGAGACATCGGGAATCGACCGGGCCGACATTCTCGATGCGGTGTTCGTCGGCAACCCGATCATGCATCACCTCTTCCTCGGCATCGATCCGACCGAACTGGGCGGTGCGCCCTTCGCGCTGGCCGTTTCCGATGCGGTCGCGATGCCGGCCCGCGCCAACGGGCTCGATCTGGGCGAAGGCGCCCGGCTCTACATGCTGCCCTGCATCGCCGGCCATGTCGGCGCCGATGCCGCAGCCGCCACCCTGTCCGAAGGCCCGCATCGCTCCGACGACATCATGCTGCTGGTCGATGTCGGCACCAATGCCGAGATCGTGCTCGGCAACAAGGACCACACGGTCGCCGCCTCCTCCCCCACCGGCCCCGCGTTCGAGGGCGCGGAAATCTCGTCCGGCCAGCGCGCCGCGCCCGGCGCCATCGAGCGCGTCCGCATCGATCCGGTGACCTTCGAGCCGCGCTTCCGCGTCATCGGCGTCGATGTCTGGTCCGACGAGCCCGGCTTTGCCGACGCCGCCGAAACCTCCGGCGTCACCGGCATTTGCGGCTCGGGCATCATCGAGGTCGTCGCCGAGATGTTCCTTGCGGGCATCATCTCCGAGGATGGCGTCATCGACGGCACGCTGGCGCCCAAATCGCCGCGCATCATCGCCGACGGCCGCACCTTCTCCTATGTGCTGCATGAAGGCGCGCAGACGATCACGGTGACCCAGAACGACATCCGCGCAATCCAGCTCGCCAAGGCGGCACTTTATGCCGGCATCAAGCTTCTGATGGACAGGATGGGGCTGACCACCATCGACCGGATCCGCTTTGCCGGCGCGTTCGGCACTTTCATCGACCCGAAATATGCGATGGTGCTCGGCCTGATCCCCGATTGCGATCTCGAAAACGTCAAGGCGGTCGGCAACGCGGCGGGCACCGGCGCGCGCATGGCGCTGATCAACCGCGACTATCGCCGCGAGATCGAACAGACCGTCCGCCGTATCGACAAGATCGAGACGGCGCTGGAGGCGAAGTTCCAGGACCATTTCGTCGCCGCCATGGCCCTGCCCAACAAGCAAGATGCGTTTCCGCGCCTGTCCCAGGCCGTCAGGCTGCCGGCGAAAAAGCCGCAGGCGGCCAATGACGAGCCGGGCGGCAACACGCCGCGCCGCCGCGGCGGCCGACGCCGGCGGGGGTGATGGCCTTCACAAGTCCGCGTGGAATTCCTCGATCAGATGGGTGACGACAGCGCGCGTGATCGTATCGGGATCGTCCGAACCGACCTCTGAGCGCACCGCCCGCTGCCGCGTCGCGCTGGTGCCGGTCAGCATGATGTCGCGCAACACGTCCATCTGCCGCATCGTGCCGAGCACGGCCAGGTCCGGCGTGACCAGGTCGATCAGCTCGTCGAGCAATTGTGCGCAGGGCACAACCTCGCCCTTGCCATAGTCGATCAGCCCTTCGGTGATGCCGTAACGCTGCGCCCGCCAGCGGTTTTCGCTGATCAGGAACCGGTCATAGACCCGCCAGCGCATGTTCTGCTGGCGCAGCCGCCAAAGCATGCGCGTGATCGCCTGCACGAGCGCTGCGATCGCGATCGTGTGGTCAAGCCTTGGCGACATGTCGCAAATGCGCGTTTCCAACGTGGGAAAACGGCATGAGGGCCGCAGATCCCACCAGACCTTCGATGTGTCCTCGATCAGGCCCGCCTTGATCAGAACGCCGGTGGTGCGCTCATATTCGCCGAAACTGCCGAAATGCGGCGGCAGGCCGGTGCGCGGCAGATTGTCGAAGACCCCGAGCCGGTAGGAGGCAAGGCCCGTATCCTGCCCCTGCCAGAAGGGCGACGAGGTCGACAGCGCAAGAAGGTGCGGCAGGAAATAGCAAAGCTGCGCCATCAGATCGACGCGCAGCGCATCGTCGTCGATGCCCACATGCACATGCATGCCGCAGATCAGCAGCCGGCGGGCCATCGCCGCCATCTCGACGCGCAGATCGTTGTAGCGCTCCTTGTCCGTGTGGTGCTGCTTGTTCCACTCCGCAGAGGGATGGCAGGAGACCGCAATCGGCACCCGATTGAACTCGGCCGCCCGCCGCGCCACCGTGCTGCGCAGGCGGCGCAGGTCGTCGCGCGCCTCGCCGGCGGTCCCGCAGACACGCGTGCCCACTTCCACCTGGCACTGAAGATATTCCGGGCTGACCTGCTTTTGCAGGTCCTTCTGGAGCACGTCCATCAGCGCATCGGGCGCTTCGGCCAGTGTCAGCGTATCCGCATCGACCAGCAGATACTCTTCCTCGATCCCGATGGTGAAGCTCGGCGTGTTCAACAGCTATGACGTCCCTCTCCGCGCCCCGCACCATAAACAAGCCTTGGCCCGATGCAAAAGCCGATAAATGCGGCAGACCTTTACCGCCACGGCCAACGCGCCATGGATCAAATGGTTCAGAAAAATTCGTTTCGCCGATTGGGTTTCAGCGGCTAGGGCAGGCCGATGCGCCGACTGTTCTCATCGCCCCTGTTTCTGGTTCTCGCGCTCTGGCTGGCCGGCCTTGGCTGCGCGGCCCAGTTCGCCAAGATGGCCGTGATCCTGCCCGCGCTTCAGGACCATTATGGCGAGACCGGCGTGGCCTCGGGCTTTCTGGTCTCGCTGATCGCGCTGATGGGAATCGTGCTGGGGCTCGTCGCCGGTGTCCTTGCCATCCGCATCGGGCTGCGGCGGCTGCTCCTGACCGGGATCGTGCTCGGCGCTGTCGTTTCCTTCATCCAGGCCACTATGCCGCCCTTTTCATGGATGCTGGCGATCCGGTTCGTGGAGGGCCTGTCGCACCTCGCCATCGTCGTCGCCACGCCGACATTGATCGCGCAGATCACGCCGGCCCGGCATCAGGGCGCGGCACTGACGTTGTGGGGCACGTTCTTCGGTGTCGCATTCGCAGCCGCCGCGCTCATCGCGCCCGCCCTTGTGAGCGCCGGCGGTCCGGGTGCGGTTTTTTTGGCGCACGGCGTCTATATGGCCGTCTTCGCCGTGCTGCTGGCCCTCGTGCTGCCGCGCCCTGCCCCGCTCGCCGTGGCCGCGCCGCCGCTCGGCCCGCGCCAACTCATTGCCCGTCACATCGACATCTACACATCGCCGACGATCGGCGCGCCGGCGATCGGCTGGGTGTTCTACACACTGACCTTTGTGGCCCTGCTCGCCGTTCTGCCGCCATTCATCGATGCTGAGCAGCGCGTCCTTGCGACGGCGCTGATGCCGCTTGCCAGCATCGTCTCCTCGATGACGATGGGCGTCTTCCTGCTGCGTTTCGTGCCGGCCACCACCGTGGTTCAGATCGGCTTCGTGGCGGCGGCGGTCTTCGGCGCGCTTTTCGCTGTTGCCGGGCCGGCGGCATGGCTGGCGGTGGCGCTGTTTGCCTGCCTGGGCCTCGTGCAGGGCGCCAGCTTCGCCGCTGTGCCGCAACTGAACGCCGGCACGGCCGACCGGGCGCTGGCCAATGGCGGGCTGGCCCAGACCGGCAATCTGGGCAACACGACCGGAACGCCGCTTCTGATCGCCATCATCGCCGTCACCGGATTTGCCGGCGTGCCCTGGTTCCTGCTTGGCTGCTATCTGATCGCCATCGGCGCCAATGCCGCATTGGCACGGCGCCGGCGCCAGGCAGGTTCAGGGGCTGTTTCTTAACGCCCTGTTTACCCTTGCCCAACGGCGGCGTTCGGGTGGCGCAAAATTCATATCCGACTTCGCATTTGTCATCGCAATTCCGTCACACAAGGCCCATATGCGGGCCATGAGCCGCCCCAACGGGGACGTCGATATCGGGTCGGACCCAACCGCCCGACAAGCGTCCTGATAATAGCCGGCGGGTTCCTGCCAAACGACGGGTCCAAACCGTCGTCGGAACCGTCCGGTCGCGCCAAGGCTGCTCCGTGTGAAATGGCAAACCGCATGGAGTGATGAAATGTCCATTTTTGCGAAATTCTTCCGCGTCGGCACTCTGACCGCCTACGCTCCCACCAACGGCGCAAACCTGACCACCGCGTTCGAACGCAATCGCCTGGGCCGCACCATGCCCGGCGAGACCGCTGCGCGCGCCGGCTCGCGCTACGGCCTGTTCGTCTGACGGGACCATGATCGCCGCTCACAGCCGGTCGCGTCGGGCTTGACGCGGCCGGCTTCCGCATGCCTTGACACATCATGATCAGGGCTGCGCTTTTCGATGTCTACGGCACCTGTGTGGACTGGCATACCGGCATGCGAACCGCTGCCGAACGCATGCTCGCCGAAAAGGGCCTCGATACCGGCGCGGGACGCGCCATCGCCGAAGGCTGGCGGCGGCGCTATCAGCCATCGATGGACCGCGTCCGCTCCGGGCGCGACCCCTACCGCCCGCTCGACGCGATCCAGATCGAAACACTCGACGACGTGCTGGACGAGATGAACCTGTCGCATCATGTCGATGCCGGCGACCGCGCCGCCCTCAACGCGGCATGGGATGCCCTGCCCGCATGGCCGGACACAGCGGAAAGCCTGCGAAGACTGGCAAGCGTGATGCCGGTTGCCGCCTGCTCGAACGGATCACGGGCGATGATGGCGCGCCTTGCCGATCATGCCGGCCTGACATGGACGACGATTGCGGGCGCCGAACTGGCGCGGACCTTCAAGCCCGAACCGGCCGTCTATCTCAAATCCTGCGCGGCGCTGGGGACAAGCCCGGCCGAAACGGTGATGGTGGCCTGCCATGACGATGATCTGGACGCGGCCGCCGCGTGCGGGCTCGCCACCGCCTTTGTGCCGCGTCCGGCCGAATGGGGCGCTGACGCCTCGCCCGAGCCCGTCGATACCGGCCGATTCACCTTCCACGCCGATACGCTCTGCGCGCTGGTGGACCGCATCGCGCGCGCTTCGGCGTGAAAAAACGTTGCGCGGCGCGCCGGTCGCTGATTGTGTGTCGGCCAGATGACATTGTCCACGTACGCCCTGCGCGTGCGGCCTGATGGGAGCCGGGTCATGGACGAAAGCAAGCCGGGCACACGGGCGCCGACGCGCACCATCGTGTTCTTCCTCGTGCCGGAATTCACGATGATCGCCTTCACGTCGGCCGTCGAGGCATTGCGCTCGGCCAACCGCATGCTGGGCTATGACGCCTATGTGTGGCGACTGGCGAGCGAGACGGGCGAACCGGTCACCGCGTCGAACGGCGTCCAGGTGTCCGTGCACGCCGCCATCGAGGACGAGCGGCGCATGATCTCCAAACCCGACCGGGCGTCGCTGTTCCTGGTTTGCGGCGGCGTCAATGTGGAAAGCCACACCACCAAGGCGGCGACGGGCATCGTGCGCGAGATGCATGCGCGAGGCATCGGCGTCGGCGGCCTTTGCACCGGCGCCCACGTGATCGCGTCCGCCGGGCTGCTCAGCGGGCGCCGCTGCGCCATTCACTGGGAGAACCTTCCGGGTTTTTCGGAAAAATTCCCCAAGGCCGAGGTCTATGCCGACCTGTTCGAGGTCGACGGCAACATCTACACCTGCGCCGGAGGCACCGCCGCTCTGGACATGATGCTGTCGCTGATCGCCGAGGATTTCGACGACGATCTGGTCAACCGCGTCTGCGAACAGATGCTGACCGACCGCGTGCGCGCGGCAACCGATCGCCAGCGCCTGCCGCTGCGCGCCCGGCTCGGCGTTCAGAACGCGCGCGTCCTGTCCATCATCGAACTGATGGAAGCCAATCTCTCCGAGCCGCTGTCGCTTCTGGAGATCGCCGACCATGTCGGCCTGTCGCGCCGGCAGATCGAACGGCTTTTCCGGCAGGAGATGGGCCGTTCGCCCGCGCGCTATTATCTGGAAATACGGCTCGATCGCGCCCGCCATCTCCTGGTCCAGTCGACAATGCCCGTCGTCGAGGTGGCGATTGCCTGCGGTTTCGTCTCCGCGTCGCATTTCTCAAAGTGCTATCGCGAACTTTATGCCAAGTCGCCGCAACAGGAACGGGCCGAGCGCAAGCAACTGCTCGTCGCCTGATCCACGGTCCCGACCCCCGGAGCGATGATGTCCGCATATCTGCGTTTCGCCGCCGTCCTTCTTCTGGCGCTGATCGCCATCGCCCCCGCCAACGCGGCGGAGAAGCGTTTCCTTCTGGCCACCACCACATCGACCGAGAATTCCGGCCTTCTGGATGCGATCATCCCGCAATTTGTGGCCGAAACGGGCATTGCCATCGATGTCGTCGCGGTCGGCACCGGGCAGGCCCTGGAAATGGGCCGGCGCGGCGATGCCGCCGCTATCCTGGTTCACGACCGGATCGGCGAGGATGCGTTCGTCGCCGCCGGTCACGGCTCCGACCGCCGCGACGTCATGTACAATGATTTCGTCATCATCGGCCCTCGGGACGACCCCGCCGATCTGGCCGGAGCGTCGGACACGGCGCAGGCTATGACGAGGATTGCCGACAGCGGCGCGGTGTTCGTCTCCCGCGGCGACGACAGCGGCACCCACCGCAAGGAACTGCGCCTGTGGGCCGAGGCGGCGCTCGATCCGGCCACGTTCGGCGCCTGGTATCGCGAGGCGGGTGCCGGCATGGGCCAGACCATCCTGACGACCACGCAGATGGGCGGCTACACCATGACCGACCGGGCGACCTGGGTGAAGTTCGGCCGCAAGGACGGTCATGTGATCGTCTTCGAGGAAGACCCGCCCCTGTTCAATCCCTATGCCTCGATCGTCGTTACCAACGAAGCGGTTCCCGCCGACGAAACCAGATGGGCCACCCGATGGCACGAATGGCTGACCAGCGAGACCGGCCGCGATGCGATCCGGGCCTACACCGTCGATGGCCAGCAGCTCTTCTTCATCGCCGGCGACGAAGAGGCGGGCTGACCGCTTCGCCCGGGTTCATGCGGTATTGGTCCGCTGCCCGCGCTCGCGTGTCACCCACCATGTCAGGACCGTGACAAGAAACGAAATCGCAACCAAAATCACGCCCAGCGCGACGGCGACGTTGAAATTGCCCTGCCGGGTTTCGAGCGTGATCGCCGTCGTCATCACGCGGGTCGATCCGCGAATGTTGCCGCCGACGATCATCACCGCGCCCACTTCCGAGATCGCCCGGCCGAACGCCACCAGAAAGGCGGTGACCAGCCCGGCCCGCGCCATGCGCATCAGTTCGGTCACCTGACGCCAGCGCGCCCTGATGTCGAGGCGGATCTGGTCGCCATGCTCGGCCCATTGGCCGGCGCATGCCCGGTGCGAGAACACCGTGATCACCGGCAGCGTGATGATGACCTGGGCGATGACGATGGCCGTCGGGGTGAACAGGATGTCGAGCCAGCCCAGCGGGCCCGATCGCGACAGCAGGATGTAGACGATCAGGCCGACCACCACCGTCGGGACCGCCAGAAGCGCCGAGAAGATGGCCAGCCAGATGCGCCGTGCCCGCCCGCGCAGCGTGCATATCCAGCCGCCCAGCGGCGCGCCGATCGCCATGCCGATCAGCGACGCGGTCAGGCTGACCTGAACCGACAAGACGACAATGCCGAAGATTTCGCGCCCGTCTCCCATACCGGAACGCTTAACGGGAATCGTCGGCGGTGCAAATGCACTTGGCAGGCTCAGAGGCCCTACCGCAGTTCCCTGATCCCGCGCAGCCGTTCGCCGATGGTGCAGTCGACCGGGCCGTCATTGACCAGATGGACCGGCATTGCCCGGACGACGGCCTTGTCGTCGGGCGGCGTCTTGCCCGCCAGTTCGAGCACGATCTTGCGGCGCACCGCCTCGGCAAATTCGTCCCAGTCCCGGACCGGCAGCAGGAACGCGCCCGGCCCGCCGATCACGCAGTCGCGGTAGTAGACGTCGAGACCCGAAATGTTGAAACCCAGCCCGCCCATCCAGGGCTCGGCCATGATCGGCAGGCCGTTGATGACGATGCCGCGATCGACCGCCTCGTCGCGCGCCAGATCGACCCGTCCGCCCTGATTGTTCGGGCCGTCGCCGGAAATGTCGATGACACGGCGCAGGCCTTCGAACGCATTCTCCTCGATGGCGGCGATGCCGTAGAGGATCGCGCCGGTAATCGACGTGTTGCGCATGTTGGCGATCGGCGCCTGTTCGAGACGGTCGGCGAACGCGTTGGCGCCCTGCGCATCGCTGATCACCGTCCAGGGCACGATGACGCGTTGAAGGTCGACGCGCGCCCATTCCACATAGGTAACCGCCACTTCCCCGATCAGCCCGCCGGCGATCGCATCGTGGACCGCCTTGGTCCGGAACGCTTCGGCATAGCCGCGCCGCTGAAGCGCCAGTTCGTGATCGCGCATGGAACCGGAGACGTCGACGGCGAGCACCAGTTCGACATCGACCTGACGATCCTGCGCCCAAACCTGACCGGCCGCCGGAACCAGCAGCATCGCCAGAGCGACGAATCGCGACAGGAACGCTTTCATGGACCCATGATACGTCATCGCCATCATTGAAGAAGCCAATCGCGGTAACGATATGGCGAGGCGCTTTCGCCGCCACGGGGCTTGACGGCTTTTTGGCCGCGCGCCCGACATCTCTCCGTCGCAGGCAGGACAGGGCGTTGACGCGGCATTTCCGATAAGGCTGGAATGAAGCGGTCCGGCCATGAGCCCGGATGCAAACGATGCGCGGAGACCGAGCCATGGCAGCCTTTCCCGAACAGGCCAAAATCGTCATCATCGGTATTGGCGGCATTGTCGGCGCCTCGGTCGCCCACCATCTGATCGAACGCGGCTGGGACGGCATCGTCGGCATCGACAAATCGGCCGTGCCCACCGATATCGGCTCGACGTCGCACGCCTCGGACTTCTGCTATGCGACCAGTCACGACCAGCTCTCCTGCTGGACGACGGCCTATTCGATCGATTTCTACGAGAAGATGGGCCGCTACGCGCGCGTCGGCGGGCTCGAAGTGGCGCGCGTCGGCGACGACGAACGCATGGCCGAGCTCAAGCGCAAGGTCGCCTCGGGCAAGGCGTTCGGCACCCGCGCGACGATGATCTCGGCCGCCGAGGCCAAGGCGAAATTCCCGCTTCTCGAAGAGGGGATGATCCAGGGCGCGCTTTGGGACCCCGATGCGGGTCTCGTCACGCCCCGCAGCCAGGTCGTTACCGGCGAACTCGTCGAGAACGCCGAAAAGAGCGGCAAGCTGACGACGTTCGCCAACCTGCCGGCCACCGATCTGGTGATCGAGGACGGCCGCATTGCCGGCGTCGTCACGCGCCGCGGCACGATCAGGGCAAACCATGTGATCGTCTGCGCCGGTCTCTGGGGCCGGCTGATCGCCGAAATGGCGGGCGAGGACCTGCCGGTGATGCCCATCGACCACCCGCTCCTGTGGTTCGGGCCTTACGACGAGTTCGCCGGCACCGGCAAGGAGATCGGCTGGCCGCTGCTGCGCGACCAGGGCAATTCGGCCTATATGCGCGACACGGGCGATCCCAAGTCGACCGAGGGCGGGATGATCGAATGGGGATATTACGAGGAAACCGAGCCGCGCCTGGTCCATCCGCGCGACATCCTTGAGAAGGAACAGGCGCGCCTGTCCCCCTCCCAGCGCGATCTGGAGATGGAGCAGGTCATCGAGCCGCTCGAAAAGGCGATGGAGCTGACCCCGATCCTCGCCGAGCTCGGCTTTGAGGAAAAGCGCTCCTTCAACGGGCTTTTGCAGGTCACCACCGATGGCGGCGCGTCGCTGGGCGAAAGCCAGAAGGTGCGCGGCCTATGGTACGCCGTCGCCGTTTGGGTCAAGGACGGCCCCGGTGTCGGCAAGCTGATCGCCGACTGGATGACCGACGGCCGCACACCGATTGACATCCACGCCGCAGATTATGCCCGCTTCTATCCGCACCAGACCGAAGAAGGCTTCATCCGCGACCGCTGCACCGAAACCGCGATGAAGGTCTACAATCCGGCCGTCCACCCGCGCGAACCCTTCTCCAAGGGCCGCAACATCCGGCGCTCGCCTTTTTACGAGCGCGAAGTGGAACTGGGCGGCCATTTCATGGAACTGGGCGGCTGGGAGCGCGCCCATGGCTATGCGGCCAACGAGCATCTGCTCGACAAATGGGGCGACAGGGTTCCGGTCCGCCAAGACGAATGGGACAACCGCCACTTCTGGCGCGTCTCCAATGCCGAGCATCTGGAGATGAGCGACAATGTCGGCATGGTGAACCTGTCGCATTTCGCCATCTACGATGTCGAAGGACCCGGCCATGTGGACCTGATGGAATGGCTGTGCGTCGCCAAGATCGGCGGCGAGAACATGGTCGGCAAGGGCATCTACACCCATTTCCTGGAAGACGATGGCGGCGTGCGCGCGGACCTGACCGTCATCCGCATGCAAGACCGCTGCCGTGTCATCGACGGCGCCGATGCCGGCCCGCGCGATTTCAACTTCATGAAACGTGTCGCCGCCGACATGGGGTTCGATGTCGCCATCACCGATGTGACCGAGGACTTCACCACCATCGGCCTTTGGGGGCCGAACGCGCGCGCCACGCTGCAGAAGCTGGTGGCCGACCCGGACACGCTGGAGCACGAGAACTTCCCGTTCGCCACGCTCAGGCAGATCGAGATCGCCGGCAAGGCGGTGACGGCCTTCCGCATTTCCTATGTCGGCGAGCAGGGCTGGGAACTGCACATGCGCTACGAGGACGGGCTGGCCGTCTGGGACGCGATCCGCGACCTGGGCGTCATGGCGTTCGGCGTCGAGACCTATGCAAACTCGCGGCGCATGGAAAAGAGCCTGCGCCTTCAGAACGCCGACCTTCTGACCGAATACAATCTGCTCGAAGCCGATCTTGCCCGCCCGAAGGTCAAGCAGGCCGATTTCCGCGGCAAGGCCGCCTATCTCGAGCAGCGCGCCCGCAACCACCAGCCGGCGACGCTGTGCACGCTGGTCATGACCGACAATGTGGATTCGCACGGCGTCGCCCGCTATCCGGTCGGCATCTGCCCGGTGATGGATGAGGCCACCGGCGAAGTACTCATCGACGAGCTGGGGCGGCGATCCTTCACGACCTCGATCGCCTATGGCCCCTCGATCGGCAAGAACATCGCGCTGGCCTACCTGCCGCACGACCGCGCCAAGAAGGGCAACGGGCTGATGATCGAATATTTCGGCGAGCGGTTTCCCGTCGAGGTTGCCGGCATCGGCTATGCGCCGCTTTACGACCCCGAGAACATCAAACCGCGCTCGTGACGCAACGGAACGGCCGTAACCTTAACGACAATTGAACGGCCGGCATTAACCTGCCGGGCAGGCCGGCACGCTATGATGGGCCGACGACGCGCGCGTGCGTCAAGTGCCGTCTTGCAAGAGTGCCTGCCCATGAGTGTCACCACGCTCGATCAATCCGCTGCAATGCCCCGTCTCGGGCTGGCCGGTCTTGTCTGGCTGGTCATGGGCGCTCTCGTCGCGCTGATCGCCGCCGGTCTGCTGCTGCCGCTGCGCGCGCCGCTCGGCTCGATGTACTGGGACAGTTTCCTCTATCTCGATGCCGCCAATCGCCTTGGCCAGGGCCAAATGCCCAATGTCGATTTCTTCACGCCCGTCGGCCCGCTCGAATATTATCTGAGCACCTGGACGATGGCGCTGTTTGCCGACGCGCAACCCATGTACGCGGCCAACTGGTCGATCGCGATCGTCACCATTCCGCTGATGGCGCTCGTCCTTTGGGACGTGGCGCGCCGCAACCCGCTCATCGCGCTGGCGCTGGCGGTGCCCTTCGCGCTGTTCACGCTGCTGCCGTTCAACACCACCGAATATTACAATTATCCCGGCTCGGACGGTTTCGGCATCTACAACCGCCATGCCAGCCAACTTCTCTACGTTCTGGCGGCGGCGCTGATGTTTGTGCGCAACCGCTCGCTTCTTGTCGCCCTGGTCGCAGCGCTGATGCTGGTGCTGTTCCTGGTCAAGATCACCGGTTTCGTGGCGGCGGGGCTGCTGTGTCTGGCCGCCCTGGCGGCCGGCCGAATCCGGCTTTTCGGCGCTATCGCCAGCGCCGTCATCTTCGCCGCCGCGCTGGGCGGTCTCGAACTGGCGACGGGCATGATCTCGGCCTATCTGGCCGACATCGTCGCGCTTTTGGACATCAATGATTCCAGCCTTGCCTCGCGGCTGATCCAGGGCGCATCGCGCACCGGCGGCACGGTCATCTTCGCCGGGCTTCTGGGCGCGCTTCTGATCGTCGTACTTCCCGCCCGTACTGCTGCAGGTCAGCCGCTCTGGCGCGCGGTCTGCAACCATCCGTCCATCTGGCTCGGCGCCGCCCTTGCCGGCGGCATCTTCTTTGAAAGCCAGAACACCGGCAGCCAGGAGCACATCGCTCTGTGGCCGGTCGCCATCCTCGCGCTTGCGCGCATGTTCGCGGCGGACGGCAGCAACGGCGCCAAGGCGGCCGCCGCGCTTGTGGCCGCCTGTACGGTCCTGCCGCCGGCGGTCCAGACCATCCAGCACGCGACCAGGGCCAATCTGGCGATGATCCGGCAGGTGCCGCTGGAACATGAAAACCTCGGCGCGATGGGGCAGGTAACGGTCCGGCCGCGCAAGCTGGAGCGCTACGAGCGCATGCGCGCCCACTACATCGAATACCCGGAGGCGACTCGCGCGATCGCCATGCGCCGCGAACTGCCCGCTTTCGTGCTGTACTCCGAACACGATTTCCAGATCGGCCTGATGAAGGACGCCGACGAACTGGTCGGCGAACTCAAGCGTCTCGAAGCCGCCGGCCTGCGATACGAGACGATCATGACGCTCGACTTCGCCAACCCGTTCCCGTGGCTTCTCGGCAAGTCCGGCCCGCGCCACATCGCCATCGGCGCCGATCCCTATCGCGCCGTGCCCAAGCCGGACGCGGACGTCTACGACGCGGTCGCCGACGCCGACATCGTGCTGGAACCGCAATGCCCCTATCGTGACAATGGCCGCCAGCTCTACGGTATCTATGCGCCGGCGCTGACCGGCCACGTCAAGGTCCGGCTGACCGATTGCTATGCGGCCTATGTCAGGCCGCAGATCGCGGCCCGGCTTGGCGGCTGATGTCGCGGGTGCCGGGCAGGAAACGCAAATCGCGCAGCGCGCAGATCAGCACCAGGCCGAACACGATCAGATAGGGCAGATGGAACCGCGTTTCGTGCAGCGGGAACACCACCATCTTGGCGCCCATCGCCAGAAGCGTCGCGACGAGAACCGTCGTCTCGCGCCGCGAGAAGCCGAAGCCGCGCAGCGTCATCTGCCACCATGCATAGCAACCCAGCAGCAGAACGGCCAGCCAGGTTTCCTCGACCAGTGAGCGGACGATGACGCGCACCACCGCATAGGCATAGACGGTCAGAGAAAAGTCCGGATCGAACCCTTCCAGAGTCGGCACGAACTCGACATGGGTGAACCAGAAATGGACCCACCAGCCCGGATGGCCGCCGGCCTGGGTCATCGGAACATAGACGATCGCTGCGGCGGCAAACGCGACGAACGCGCCCCAGGAAAAGGTTCGCGTGAAGACCGAAACGAACCACAGAACGCCGATATAGGCCGCATGGTCGGGACGCGCCAGAAAAGCGGTGAAAAGGAGAATCGCCACCAGCGCTTCGCGCCTGGCCATGAAGGCCAGCATGGCCGCAACGAACAGCATGGTCGACAGCGCATCGGGCGTTCCCGAGCGGGCGCGCTCGCCGAAGGCGCAGACCAGAAGCAGGGCAATCGCCAGCGGCGCCAGATGAAGCGCCCGCTCCCGCGCCAGCCACCATGCCACCAGCCCGACCGTCAGTGCCGCCGGGACGACCGACAGAAGCCGCACGGCAATGTACGGATCGACGAAATCCGAAAGCCAGCCCAGCAGCTCCACATAGAGGAACTTCACCCGGTAAAAGCCGAGCATGGTGAAGAAGGCTTCCGGGTCGGCATATTGGCGCACGCGATAGTCGCGGTCCTGGGTCAGGACAATGAAGTCACCCGCCGGCGCGTTCTGTCGCATCGTCTCATAGGCATGCCGATGCAGCGCTTCGACCGAAATGCCGGGCGCTTCATGCGCGGCGGCCAGATAGGCGAACATGTCCCAATTGTAGATGGGAAAAACCCAGCCGGCGGCGGCGATCGTGGCGGCCAGCGCCAGCAGCAGCACAAGACCCAACGTGCCGGCAAACGGCGCTAGCCGCCGGGCCAGCCATTCGCCGGTCGCCAGAATGCGGATGTTGATGTCCTCGATCACGACGCTTGTTCCGTTGCGTCATCTGATCAAACACGATGCCCCTTGCGCCGGGCTGGCGGCGCAAAGGGCAGGCGTTCGGGGTCCTTTGCCGACAGGGCTGTGTCAGCTCACCTGGCTTTTGACGAAATCGCGCACGATGGCGACGATTCCGCGTCCGAGCAGCGCGTCGAACCCGGCGATGAACCGGTCGACGTGGCTGCGCTCGCAGATGAGCGGCGGCTCCAGCCGGATGACGTTGCGGTTGTATTCGGTGAAGGCGACCAGAATGTCGTGATCGCGCAGCAAAAGCGCACCGATAAAGCCCGAAAGCGAGCCCTTCAGCTTGTCGTCCAGCATCGCCACGGCCGGCCTCAGCACCGCAGGCAGCGTCTGCGAGAAATCGTGGAATTCGAGACCCACCATGAAGCCCTGGCCGCGCACATCCTTGATGATCTGCGGATATTTGGCCTTCAGCCGTTCGAGTTCGGCGATCAGATAGGCGCCCGTGTCGGCCGCATTGTCGATCAGGCCTTCCTCATAGAGGACGTTGATCGTCTCGAGCGCGGTGACCGACGCTTCGCCGATGCCGCCGAAGGTGGCCTGGGCGTGGATCATCGCCGTCTTCGGCGTGCCGTAGGCCTTCATGTAGATGTCGCGCCGGGCGATCATCGCCGCCATCGCGCACTTGCCGCCGCCCAGCGATTTGGCAAGCGCCGTGACATCGGGAACGACGCCGTGATGCTCGAACGCGTAGAACCGGCCGGTGCGGCCAAGCCCGCATTGCACTTCGTCGGCCACCCAGATGACGTCATGTTCGTCGCAAAGATCGCGCAGCTTGTGCCAAAAGGCGCTGTCGGCGCCGATGATGCCGCCGCCGCCCTGCACCGTCTCAAGGCAGATCACACCGATCTCCGGATGCGCCTTGAACGCGGCTTCGACCGCTTCGATGTCGCCGAACGGAACTTTCACACCATTGTCGAGCAGTTTGAACTCGCCCCGGTAGAGCGGCCCGTCGGTGATCGACAGGACACCCTTGGTCTTGCCGTGGAACGAATTCTCCGCATAGACGACGAGCGGACGCTCAGGGCCGGCGGCGCGCTCGGCAACCTTCAGCGCCGCTTCCATCGCCTCGGAACCGGACGATCCCAGAAACACCATGTCGAGGTCTTCGGGCGAGCAGACCGCGATGTTGTGCGCCAGCGCCGCCGCATATTGCGACATGAACGCCATGGCGATCTCGTGGCGCTTTTCCTCCTGGAACACCTTGCGGGTTTCGAGGATGCGCGGATGATTATGGCCGAGCGCGAGAGAGCCAAAACCTCCGAAGAAGTCGAGGATCTTCCGACCGTTCTGGTCGGTGTAATACATCCCCTCGGCGCTCTCGATCTTGATCTTGTGAAAACCCAGCAGCTTCATGAAGTGAAGCTGGCCGGGGTTCAGATGCGCCTTGAACAGTTCGGTCATCGCCGGAACGCCCATCGCCTTGGCGTCGGCCACCGACATCAGGTCCGGCTTGTCCAATTGTGCGTGTGCGGCGCCTTCCGGCATCGGCGTCTGCATGGCGGGCGCCTCGACGACCGGTTTTTTCTTGGTCAGGAAATCAAGCATTTTCGGTGTCCTCACTCTGCCGCCACGACGGTCGAATTGCCGACCGCAAGGCCGCTGTCCCTGGCCTTGCGGTATTCCGCATAGGCCGCCTGCAACATGTCCTCGTCGCGATATTTCGGCGCCCAGCCAAAATCGCGCTTGGCCGCCTCCGTGTCGCGCACGCAGTATTCGTCGGCGATCAGATACTGCTCGGGGTCCATGAGCGGCATGTTCAGTTGGTCGAGCGCGGCAAGCGTCCATTTGACGGCGAAGCCGGGCGTCGGCAGCAGGATGGATTTCGAACCGGCCGAGCGGATCAGGTCGCCCAAGAGCTTCCTGACCGGAGGCGGATTGTCCGACCCCAGATTGTAGGCCTTGTTGGGCACGCCATGTTCCCAGGCAAGGCGCGCCACCTCGGCGCAGTCATAGACCGAGATGAACTGGTAGGGGTTCTTGCCCGCGCCGATCATCGGCACCGGCAGGTTCATGTCGATCAGCTTGAACAGCTTGCCCAGAATGCCGAGGCGCCCGGGCCCGATGATCAGGCGCGGCCGCACGATGGTGATCTTCAGGCCGCGCATGCGCCAATCGTCGGCGATCGCTTCGGTCTCGGCTTTCGAACCGCCATAATGGCCGAGCGGCGATATCGGATGGCTCTCGTCCTGCGGCGTCTTGACCGTTTTGCCGTAGACCATGTCGGTCGTGTACTGGACGAGTTGGGACGCGCCCGATGCAGCGGTGTGCGCCATGATGTTGGCGGCGCCGAACGTGTTGACCGGATAGAAGAACGGATAGCGGTCGATGCGCTTCTGGATCGGCGACAGCATCATCGCCGACAGGTTGTAGACCATGTCGTCGCCATCGACCGGCACGCCGGAGACGGACGCCGAATTGGTCACGTCGCAGTGTACGTGATCGACGGTGGCGTAGTGCGGCAGGTCCGATTTGTTGATGTCGGCGACCAGTACCTTTTCGCCGCGTTCGGCGAGATCCTTGGCGAGAAAGCGGCCGACGAAACCGTCGCCGCCGAAGATCACATGTTTCATGACTGTGCTTCGTCCGTAATGGCGGTTGCGGGTGAGGAATGGGTCGTGCGCGGCGTGTCCGACAGCGGCGAACCCGATTGCGCGACGAGGACCGTGCCGACGCAGATGAAAGCGATGCCGGCGATCTTGTAGGCGCCCAGATCCTCGCCGAAGAGCTGCCAGGCCAGAACCGCCACCGCCACATAGGCGAGCGACAGGAACGGATAGGCAAAGCTCAGATCGACCTTGGACAGGACGAACATGTGCGAGGCCATCGAAATGACGAACGTCGCCAGTCCGAAGAACACCCAGGGCTGGAAGATGATCAGCAGCGTCTTGAAGATCAGGTTCGGCTGTCCGAGGACCGCCGGCGACAGCGTCATCATGCCCTGCTTGAGCATGAGTTGCGCCGCTGCGTTGGTCGCGACCGTGAACAATATGAACGGTATGTATTTCATCGTTTGCGCCCGGCCCTCATCCGGTTTCTGTCTTAGGAGACCTTCGTTAGAGTTTGCTGAAGATCGTCGGTCGCAATTGACCCATTCCCGTTTTTGGACAGCATCAGCGCCGTCCGCCGCCAGAAATCCGAGCAAAGCGCGGGGTCGCGCAGTGCTTCAAGTTGGTGCCAATGCGGAAAGCAGGCGGCGAACGTCTCCGCGCCCATGCGGGCATCCTTGTAGGGATTGACGCGTCCGCCCGCCTCCACCGTGATCCGGTCGAGTTCGTCCAGAAGCGCCAGCGTCTTCGGACCCCGGTTGGGGAAGTCGAGCGTCAGCGTGTAGCCCGGCACCGGAAAGCTCATCAGGCCGGGCGTTGCGGTGTCGCCGAACCGCTTGAGAACGGTCAGGAACGAGGCCTGCCCCGCCCTGCGCGATGCGGCCAGCATGGCCGGGATCGCCGCGCGCGCCGTCTCGAACGGTATGGCGCTCTGGTGCTGGAACAGGCCCGCCGGCCCGTAAAGCCGGTTCCAGTTGCCGACCGCATCGAGCGGATAGAAGAAACCGGCAAAACCGGTGACGCGGTCGCGTCCGGCCTTGCGCGCCTTGGCGAAATGGAACGCCGCATTGAAGGCTCGGAGGCTGAAATGGTTGAGCGCCGAGAGCGGCAGTTCGAACGGTACCGACAGGCGCGGCGCGTGAACGGCGGTGCGGTAGTCGCCATCATCGGCGTGGTTCGCCGTCATCAGGACGCCGCGTTCGCCGTTCAGCTGATCGAGCCAGGCGACCGCATATTCGTTGGCCGCATCGGCCGCATCGGCCTCGTCGAAATAGGCATCGAGCGTCGCAAAGGGCTGCAGCCGCTCGATGAGGTTGAGCGAACCGACCTTCATCATTTTCAGGCGCACGCGCGTGATGATCCCGGTCAGCCCCATGCCGCCGATCGTCGCGGCGAACAGTGCCGGGTTCGCGGTGCGCGACAGCGTGTGGGTGCCGTCCGAGCGGACCAGTTCGATCTGCTCGACATGCCGGCCCAGCGTGCCGCGGACATGATGGTTCTTGCCGTGCACATCGTTGGCCACCGCGCCGCCCAGCGTGACGAAGCGGGTGCCCGGCGTTACGGGCAGGAAGAAGCCGTAGGACGCGCAATAATCGATGATCCGATGCAGCATCACGCCGGCTTCGGCTTCCAGAACGCCGCTGTCCGGGTTGAACGCGACGATCCGCGCCGAACCGCGCATGTCAGCGAGTGTGCCGGCATCGTTGTGGCAGGTATCGCCATAGGAGCGGCCATTGCCGTACGGCAGAAGTGAGCCGGGCGCCGCATCGCGCAGCGCCTCGGCGGTCAGCGGGCCGGCAACCGCCGCACGCCTGGCCGGACGGACCCGGCCGAACCCGTCATAGACCGAGCGCATGGAAATCGACCGCGCCGGCGGCGAACATCAGAGCGGCGCCGAAGACGATCATCAACTGGCTGCGCCAGTCGGTCGCGATGAAAACGACCGGGTCGTCGTTGAACTCGCGCCGCTTGGCCAGAATCCAGATGCGCATGATCAGATAGAGGACCAGCGGGCAGATCGGCCAGATCATCCAGGGATGGTCGTAGAGCTGGTAGACCGCCGGGCTGTCGAGATAGAGTGCCAAAACGACGATCGCCGAAAAACCCGACGCCATGCCGGCCTGGGCGATGACTTCCTTGTCCTCGGGACGATAGCCGCGGCCCGACAGCCGTTGTCTTTCCGAGATCTTGGCCAGATCGAGTTCGACATAGCGTTTGACCAGCGCCAGCGACAAAAAGAAGAAGATCGAAAAGGCCAGAAGCCAATAGGACGGCTCGGCGCCAACCGCCGCCATGCCGGCAATGATGCGCACCGTATAAAGGCCGGCCAGCGTCAGCACATCGAGCAGCAGCCAGCGCTTGACCTTCAGCGAATAGGCGGTCGTGGCGACGAAATAGAGCGCCAGCACGATGCCGAACAAGGGCGGCAGCGTCATCGTGATCAGCACCGAAAACGCCATCAGACCGAAGGCGATCTTGATGCCGGTCGCCGGATCGATGCGCCCGGCGGCCAGGGGCCGCTTGCACTTGGTCGGATGGCGGCGGTCCATCGACAGGTCGAACAGGTCGTTGAAGACGTAGACCGCCGACGCCAGGAAGCTGAACGCGAAGAAGGCGCCGATCAGATGCACCAGCGTCACCGGCTCGAAAACCGTATGCGCCAGCACGGCCGGCACGGCGATCAGCACGTTCTTGGCCCATTGATGGACGCGCAGCATCCTGACCACGTCGGTCAGGCTGGTCTGGCCGTGATCGACAAGGATCGCGCCGCCATGGGCATCCGACCAGGCGCGCGCCTCGCGGTCGGGCGCCACCACATAGGACCGGCGCGCGGCTTCGAAGACGGCCACATCGTCGCGGCTGTTGCCGACATAGTCAAAACCCGCATCGCCATAGTCGGCGACGAGGCGCGCCCTCTTGGCGGCCGATTTGAGATTGGTGTCCGGCGTCGATCCGATCACCCGGTCGAACAGGCCGAGATGGGCGGCGATCCGTCCGGCATGGTCCTGGGCGCTGGCCGTCGCCAGTATCAGAACGCGACCGCGTTCCTTTTCCGCTTCCAGAAAGCGCAGCACTTCGGGCCGATAGCCAAGGCTGGCAGGATCGACGCTGACCCGGGAGAACACCTCATGTTTGAAGCGCGCCTTGCCGCCGAGCAGCCAGACCGGCAGCATCAGCGCGAAAAGCGGATTGGCGCGCACGAGGCGGAACACGCATTCCCACAGAAGATCGCCGGAAATCAGCGTCCCGTCGAGATCCACCGCAAGAGCGATTGCTGTGTCGTCAACGCGCGCATCCATGTCCGGCCCCTTGAAATTTCCCTTGGGTTAGGCGGGCAAATTACCGGATCGGCGCGAAAAATGCGGTGAACGGCTTGGGTTAATGGGGGTTGAAGCGCCGCTTATCGGCGGTGATGGTTAGCGCATGCTGAATGCCTGCGAAGGCATTATCGTCAAATGCTGCCTATTGGCTGATGATGGCATCCGAGCCGAGCAATTCGACGGATTCGGAGCCGGCCAGCGCGGCGCGATCGCCATTGGGCAAGGTGATGAAACAGCCCGCGGCGCAGAATGACACCGTCTGCCCCGCGCCGATAACCAGTTCCGATTTCACCCCGTTTTCCGTGACGACAAGCGTGCGTGGCTCGCTGTCCTGATTGGTCAGCGAAGCGGCCAGAGCCGGCGATGCGATTTGGACGGACACCGCCAGAACGGTTATCGCCCGGAAAACATGTCGCTTTTCAGACATGGCGCCAACCTAGAACCGAAACGGCAATCGTTCAACTGTCATCGGGCCGGCGTGCTTCGCCCGCTTCGATCTCACCGAACGGCTCCTGCGGCAGCTCGACCGGAACGTCCGCCTCGGGCTGCACCATGCGCAGATTGACATCGCGCTGCGGGAACGGGATTTCGATGCCCGCCGCCTTGAAGCGCTCGAAGATCGCCATGCGCAGTTCGGTGCGAACCGTCAGCCCGTAGCCGATGTCGGACAGGAAACCGTACAGCGTGAAATCCAGCGAGGACGCCCCGAAATCGTCGAACGAGACGAACGGTTCGGGATTGCCCAGAATGCGCGGATGGTCGGCGGCGATCTCCAGCAGCAGATCGTGCACCTGTTGCGGGTCGCTGCCATAGGAGACGCCGACCGAAACCGTGACGCGGCCGAACGTGTTGCGGTGCATCCAGTTGGACACCGCCGAATTGATCAGTTCCGAATTGGGCAGGATCAGCGTCTTGCGGTCGAAGAGCTGGATCTCGGTCGCCCGCACCGAAATGTTGGTGACCGTGCCGGTATAGCCGCCCGCCTCGATGATGTCGCCGGACTTGAAGGGCCGTTCGGCCAGAAGGATGAGGCCCGAGACGAAGTTGGAGACGATGTTCTGCAAGCCGAAACCGATGCCCAGCGACAGGGCGCCGGCGACGAGTGCCAGCTGGCTGAGGTCCAGCCCGGCGGCCGAAACGCCGATCAGCGCGGCGACGGCGATCCCCGCATAGCCGATTGCGGTTCGGATGGAGTTGCGCACGCCCGGCTCGACCCGGCTGCGCTCGAGCACGCTGCCGTCGAGCCAGCGCTGGAAACGCTTGGTCACCAGATAGCCGACAAAGAACAGCACGACGCCGGCGGCGATCGAGGTGAGCGAAATGGAGATCGAACCGACCGGAATGTCGGTGAAGAAGCGCGCGCCGAAGGCGCGGATTTCAGGCCAGCGAAAACCCCATTGCAGCGCCAGAACCGGAAGCCCGACGAGGAAGACGATCGCCGACAGCGCCATGCCGAGCACCAGCGCCAACTGGTCGATGGAGGTTTCCGAAAGCGACAGTCTCCGGGTGAGTGCCGTGCCCAGCCGCGACTGCCCGAATGCATGGTCCTGCGCGATCGCCTGCGCCGCCCGGTGGCCCAGATAGACCGTCGCAAGGATGGCGCCCGTGATGACGATCTGCTGGGCGGCGAAGCGGGCAAAGCCGATATAGCCGGCCAGGGCCGCGCCGATCAGCAGCAGGCCCGACGCCACCAGCGGCCATTTAACCCAGCCCGGCCATGGGCGGGCCGCGGCATCGGCGGCCACATCGTCCGACACCGCGCCGGCATGGGGCGGGAACGGGCGAAGAAAGGCGATCACGACGAGCAGCGCGCCCACGGCGAGGCTGGTGATCAGGCTGCGCGCCACCGTGATCGGCAGCGATGCGCCGACGATCGTGTTGACCTGTTCGATGACGGTATCGATGACCGTCACCGTCGCCATGGCGACAAAGAACGCCTTGAGCGAACGGGCGGCCTTGTCGGTCACGCCGATCAGCCGCCAGTTGGGCTTCGACGGCGCGAAGACCGCTTCGGACAGGCGCCAGACCAGAACGACCGCCGCAACGCCGACCAGCAATCGCGTCAGTATGAACAGGATATCCGGCCGCATCAGGCCGGCCTGGTCGAGACCCAGAAGCGAGATCGCCAGGAACGCCCAGAACGCCAGCGTCGGCATCAGCGTGTACCAGAAGGCGTTGGTCATCCGCGCGAAATAGGTCGGCGGATCGTCGCCCTCGGCCCGCTCGATCCAGATGACGATGGTCCTGCGCGAGGCCCGGATCGCCACCAACGCCAGAGCAAGGATCATGAACACGCTTGCCAGAACGGTGTTCTGCTTGGTGCGCCAGGTGAAGCTGGCCCATGACGCAACCCGCCTTTCCAGCGCCGCACTGCGTTCGGCCAGATCGGCGATGAGCTGCGGACTGAATGCGCTGGTGATGTCGTATCGGCGCGAAAGCGTGTCGGTGAACAAGGTCCGCCGGCGCTCGGCGATCCGGTCGACGCCGTTGCGCGCCCGGATCGATTGGGCCTCCAACTGCCCGATCAGATCGTTGATCAGCGCCCGCTCGGCGGTCAGCGCATCACGCTCGTCCAGCCTGTCGGGGGCTTCGGCCGGCTCGCTTTCCGGCGGCGCAGGACCGAGCTGGTCGAGGCGGCCCCGCACGGTGGAAAGGCGCGGCGTCAGCGCGACACCCGCCGCAAGCAGATCGTCCTGCAAGGCGGTCAGTTCGGTCGCGATCTCCGCCAGCCGCGCATCGTCGTTCGCGCTCTCCTCGATATCGTTGATCAGCCGCTCGACGTCGCGGGTGAGCGCGACGACCGGCGTTTCGGCTCCGCTGCCGACGGGCTGGGCCTGCACCGGAATGACCAGGATCGAAAGAGAAAGGCAGAGGAGAAAAGTGCGCAACCAGATCATGCGCACACGCATATCACATCTGGAAGGAGTCGAAAGATGGCTTGACGGTCAATGACCGTCGCGGGAACGTCATCGGACGGCGAATTTGTATCATGCACGAAACGCCGCGCTGATGCAGATTGCGGGCGGCGTGCCGAAAGGTCCTTCATCCATGGCGGAATATTCTGCCCTCTCCATCGTGAAGAACGCTCTGACCGGAAACCGTGACTGGAAGCCGGCCTGGCGCAAGCCCGAACCAAAGCCGGCCTATGACGTGATCATCATCGGCGGCGGCGGGCACGGGCTGTCGACGGCCTTTTATCTGGCCAGCGAGTTCGGCATCCGCAACGTCGCCGTTCTCGAAAAGGGATGGGTCGGCTCCGGCAATATCGGCCGCAACACCACCATCGTGCGCTCGAACTACCTGCTGCCCGGCAACACGCCTTTCTACGAGCATTCGATGAAGCTGTGGGAGAACCTCTCGCACGAACTCAACTACAATGTGATGTTCTCCCAGCGCGGCATCATCAACCTGTTCCACACGCCGGCCCAGGAAGACGACCATGCCCGGCGCGGCAATGCGATGATCCTGCAGGGCGTCGATGCGCGCTTCGTGCGGCCGCCCGAACTCAAGCGCCGGGTGCCGGCGCTGAACCTGTCGGGCTCGTCGCGCTTTCCGGTCCTTGGCGGGCTCGAACAGCCGCGCGCCGGCACGGCCCGGCACGATGCCGTCGCCTGGGGCTATGCCCGCGGCGCCGACCGCCGTGGCGTCGACATCATCGAAAACTGCGAAGTGACGGGCTTTGTCCGCGAGGGCGATCAGGTCACCGGCGTAGAGACGAGCCGCGGCCGCATTCACGCGCGCAAGGTGGCTGCCGCCGTCGCCGGCTCGACATCGCGCGTCATGGCGTTGGCCGGCATCGACCGGCTGCCGATCGAAAGCCATGTGCTGCAGGCGTTTGTCACCGAAAGCGTCAAGCCCTGCCTCGACACGGTGGTCACCTATGGCGGCGGGCACCTCTACATCTCGCAGTCCGACAAGGGCTCGCTCGTCTTTGGCGGCGACATTGACGGCTACAATTCCTACGCACAGCGCGGCAACCTGCCGATCGTCGAAGACGTGATGAGCGAGGTGCTGGAGCTGTTCCCGGCATTTGCGAAACTCCGCCTGCTGCGCTCATGGGGCGGCATCATGGACATGTCGATGGACGGCTCGCCCATCATCGCCAAGGGCCCCCTGCCCGGCCTCTATCTGAACGCCGGCTGGTGCTATGGCGGCTTCAAGGCAACGCCCGCCTCGGGCTGGTGCTTCGCCCACACGATCGCCCGGGACGAGCCGCACGAATTCAATGCCCCCTTCACGCTCGACCGCTTCCACCGCGGCTATGTCATCGACGAAAAGGGCCAGGGAGCGACACCGTGGAAGCATTGAGCATGTCGACGATTCCTCTCCCTCGTCCTTCGAGGTTCGCATCCCATCCCCTCATCCTGAGGTGCGAGCGCAGCGAGCCTCGAAGGGCGAGGGATGGGATGCTCGCACCTCAGGATGAGGGAAAGACATGATCATCCCCTGCCCCTTCTGCGGTCCGCGCGATCTGAGCGAATTCGCCTATTGCGGCGATGCGGACAATCTCGCTGCACGGCCCGATCCGGCGGCGACCGACCCGGCAGCATGGAACGCCTATGTCTATGACCGCACCAACCCCGCCGGCGATCATGCCGAAATCTGGCAGCATGCCGGCGGCTGCCGCCGGCATCTGCGCATTGTCCGGAACACGGTGACGCACGCGGTATCCGACGTGACGATACCCGGGGCGAAGCCATGACCAGCCATCGGTGCGCAGAAGGCGGAACGGCCATCGACCGAACCGACACGGTCGGCTTCACCGTCGATGGCCGGCAATATTTCGGCCTTGCCGGCGACACGCTCGCCTCCGCGCTGCTGGCCAATGGCGTGCGCGTGATGGGCCGCTCGTTCAAATATCATCGCCCGCGCGGGCTGATGGCCTTCGGCGTCGATGAGCCGAACGCGCTGTTCACGGTCACCACGGACGGCGTGCGCGAGCCGAACGTGCGCGCCACCGAGATCGAGATTTTCGACGGGCTTGCGGTCGAAAGCCAGAACCGGTGGCCCTCGCTCGACAACGATCTGATGGCGATCAACCAGCTCGGCGGCAAGGCGCTCGCCGCCGGGTTCTACTACAAGACCTTCATGGGTCCGGTGATCGGCCCGCTGAAGGGAACGCGTTTCTGGATGATGTGCGAGCATGTCATCCGCCGCGCGGCAGGGCTTGGCCGGCCGGGCACGGCGCCCGACAAGAGCCGCTATGAGCGCATCAACGCCTTCTGCGACGTGCTTGTCATCGGCGGTGGCCTCGCCGGACTTAAACAAGCGCATGAAGCGGCCGAGACCGGCAGGCACGTCATCGTCTGCGAACTGGAGCCGCGATGGGGCGGCGCGGCCGATGGCAAAAAAGAGTCTGAAATCAGACAGATCGTCGAATCGCTTGAATCACGACCCAATGTCACGCTGCTCACGCGCACGACGGTTTGGGGCTGGTATGACGGCAACATGTTGGCCGCGACCGAGCGCGTCAGCGACCATCTGAAGACGGCGCCCGAAGGCGCGCCGCGCCAGCGTCACTGGGTGATCCGCGCGGAGCACGTCGCGCTGGCGACAGGCGCGCTGGAACGCCCCATCGTCTTCCCCGGTAACGACCGGCCCGGCGTGATGCTGGCCGACGCGGGCCGGCGCTATACGGAGACGTTCGGCGTGCTGCCCGGCCAGCATCTGGCGGTCTTTGCCAACAATGACAGCGCCTATGCGACCGCCGCGGCCCTGCGCCATGCGGGCGCCAACGTTCGCGCCATCGTCGATGTCCGGCCGGAGATCGGCGCCGCAGCGCAACGGTTGGCCGACCGCGCCGGCGGCGCCCTGAAGCTCGGCCACGCGGTGGTCGGCACGAGCGGTGCCAAGGGGCTCAAGTCGATCTCTGTCGCCCGTTACAATCACGAGACGCGAAGCTTTTCGGGCGGCGCCGAGGAGATCGAGACCGATTGCCTGCTCGTCTCGGGCGGCTGGTCGCCGGTCGTCCATCTGGCGAGCCAGGCCGGCGCCAATCCGGTTTGGGATGATGCCCTGCAAGCCTTCCTGCCGCCCAAGCCTGACGCACACTGGTCGGTCCATGGCGCGGCCGCCGGCGATCTGGATTTCGATCACGATCTCTCCCCTGCCCCAGCCCCGGTCTTCGAGATAGGGCATCCGGGCAAGGCGTTCGTCGACTTCCAGCACGATGTGACCGCCGACGATGTGCGCCTCGCCCATCGCGAGGGCTTCCGCTCGGTCGAGCATCTCAAGCGCTACACGACGCTCGGCATGGCGACCGACCAGGGCAAGACCTCCAACGTGCCGGGCCTGGCCATCATGGCCGACGCGCTCGGCAAGCCGATCCCGGACGTGGGGACCACGCGCTTCCGCCCGCCCTACACGGCCGCCTCGCTCGGCTCGGTCGCCGCGGAACGCTATGGCGATCTGTTCCCGCACCGGCTGACACCAATGCACGACTGGCATGGAGACCATGGCGCGCGCATGTATGCCGCCGGCCACTGGGAGCGGCCCGAAAGCTACAACCGGCCCGGCGAAACCGTCGAACAGGCCTATGTGCGCGAGGCGAAGACCGTGCGATCCGGTGTAGGCCTCGTCGATGTGTCGACGCTCGGCAAGATCGACATTCAGGGGCCTGACGCGGCGGACTTCCTCAACCGCGTCTACACCAACGGCTTTGCAAAGCTCCCCGTCAACAAGGCGCGCTACGGATTGATGCTGCGCGAGGACGGGTTCGCCATGGACGACGGCACCACGTGGCGCCTCGCCGAGAACCGTTTCCTGATGACCACCACCACGGCCAATGCCGGCAAGGTGATGAGCCATCTCGAACTGTGCCTCGATGTCCACTGGCCGGACATGCGCGTCCATGTCACCTCGGTGACCGACCAGTGGGCCGGCGCGGCGATCGCAGGGCCGAAATCGCGCGACGTGCTGGCCGCATGCGTCACCGGGACCGATGTCGGCAACGACGCCCTGCCCTTCATGGGCATTGTCCATGGCGCGATTTCCGGCGTGCCGGTGATGATCTGCCGCCTCTCATTCTCCGGCGAACTGGCCTATCAGGTCTATTGCGGCGCCCATCACGGCACCCATGTCTGGGAAGCGCTGATGGCGGCCGGCGAACCTTTCGCCATCGCTCCCTACGGGCTCGAGGCGCTGGGCACGCTGCGCATCGAAAAGGGCCACGTCACCGCCGCCGAGATCGACGGCCGCACCACGGCGCGCGATCTGCATCTCGACTGGATGCTGTCATCGAAAAAGCCGTTCGTCGGCTCGGCCATGATGGACCGTGAGGGCCTGACGGACAAAAGCCGATGGACGCTCGTCGGCGTCGTCTCGCGCTCCGGCGAAAAGCTGCACGGCGGCTCCCATGTGGTCGCCGGCGACCGCGATGAGCCGGGCCCCGGCCTCGGCCATCTGACAGCCATGGCCTTCTCGCCCGAGATCAACGCCTATGTGGGTCTCGCGCTGGTCGAGGATGGCGGCAACAGGATCGGCCAGCATCTTTACGCGACCGATCCGGTGCGCTCGGGCACGCACATCCCGATCGAGATCGTCAGCCACCACATGGTCGACCCGAAGGGGGAGCGGATGCATGGCTGAACCCTTCGTCTCGACCCCGGTCATCATCGATGCCGCCGAAAGCCCGCTCGCCGGCCACTATGAACAGGGCGAGTTCGGCAATCTCGATCGCGGCGCCCGGGTCACGCTCACCGAGCGCTTTGCGTTGGCCATCTGCGATGTCTGCGCGTGGCCAGGCAGCGAAACCAAGGCGGCAAACGCCATCAAGCGCGCATCCGGTGCGTCTGTCACCAAGACGAAGGACGCCATTGCCGAAGACGCGCAGGCGTTCCGGCACGCGCCGGGGCACTGGAGCGTGGTCGCCCAAAATCCCGCCCTGCCCGAAGCGCTGGCCAAGGCGGTGGGTGAGAACGGCACCGTCGTCGACCTGTCGCATGGCCGCACGGTGTTGCGCATCGACGGGAGGCAATCACGCCGGGTGCTGTCGAAGCTCTTTCCGATTGATTTCAGGTCGGACGCTTTCCCGCTGGAAAAGGGCCTGGCGACGAAGCACCACGAGATCTTCGCGCAGATCCAGCGCGTCGGCGAGGATGCCTTCGACATCATCGTCTTCCGCTCCTACGCGCGAAGCTTCTGGCATGCACTTCGAAAGGCCAGCGAGGAAGTGGGCTACGCGGTCGATTAACCCCCACCCTTCATCCCTCCCCCATAAATGTGGGAGGGAGGACCTTGGCAATAACTCCCGACCATTCAATGCCGGAGCCTGGCTCGATTAGAACGGTGGCCTGAGATGCTGAGGGCCTCCCTCCCACGCTTGCGGGGGAGGGATGAAGGGTGGGGGCTGAGCACGGTGCCCTGATCAAGCCGTGGCGTGAGTTATCCGCCCCGCCACATAGGCCGCCGTCACCGCCCGGTCGTCGCCGAGCGTCTGCAGGACGAACAGTTCCTCTGCCAGCGTCTCGACGGTTTCCATGCGCAACGCCATCGCTTCGGTCGCCCGTGCATCGAGCACGATGAAATCGGCTTCGGTGCCCGCGTCGAGCGTCCCGATCCTGTCCGCCATGCCGATGGCTTCCGCATTGCCCAGCGTCGCCTGCCAAAAGGCACGCATCGGATGATAGCGATGGCCCTGGAGGTTCAGCACCTTGTAGCCTTCGTCGAGTGTCTTCAGCAGCGACCATGAAGTGCCGCCGCCAATGTCCGTGGCTATCGCATGCCGCACGCCGCCGCCCTTGATGCGGTCGAGATCGAACAGGCCGCTGCCCAGGAACAGATTGGAGGTCGGGCAGAACACCGCCACCGCACCGGTCTCGGCCATTCGCCCGATCTCGCGCGCGCTCAGGTGAATGCAGTGGCCCATCAGGCTTTTGTCGGTCAGAAGGCCGAAGCGCTCATAGACATCGGTATAGTCGGCAGCGTCGGGAAACAGCGCCTCCACCGCTTCGATCTCGCCATGGTTTTCGGACAGATGGGTCTGAATCAGGCATTCGGGATGCTCACGCGCCAGCGCCCCGGCCGCCTCCATTTGCGCATCCGTCGAGGTCAGCGCGAAACGCGGACTGATCGCGACTTCGAGCCGTGCTTCGCCGTGCCAGTCGGCGATCAGCGCCTTGGTGTCGTCATAGCCGGACTGGGCGGTGTCGGTCAGCGCCTCGGGCGCGTTGCGGTCCATCATCACCTTGCCGGTGACCAACCGCATGTTGCGCGTTGCCGCTTCGGCCAGAAGCGCGGTCGCCGACCCCTTGTGCACCGAGCCGAAGGCAACGCATGTCGTCGTCCCGTGCGCCAGCAGCATGTCGCAAAAGCGTTTGGCCATCGTGGCGGCGAAGCGCGGATCGCCATATCTCTGCTCTTCGATGAAGGTGTATGTGTTCAGCCATTCCAGGAGCGAGCCGGCATAGGAGGCCACCACCTGGCCCTGCGGGAAGTGGATGTGCGGATCGATGAAGCCGGGCAGCACCAGGTGCGGACGGTGATCGGCATAATCCGCGTCGCGATGGTCGGCCGGCAGGTCGGACCAGTCGCCCACCCAGGCGATGCAGCCGTTGCGGCAGACCAGCCCGCCATCCTCGATCAGGGTGAAGGACGCTTCGTCGTCGGCACCCAGCGGCTCGTGGTGAAACCACAACAGCCGCCCGCGCACGATGGTGATGGTCCCGCCCTGCGTGCCAGATGCCATGTCCCGTTCCTTCCGGCCAAACGAGCCGACTATGGGCGAGATATGGGGCGGTTGGAAGGGTCGCGCTGCGACTTGGGTGGCACGGCCGTTCGGCGGACGGTTTGCGGTTTTGCATGGGCGCGAAACCCGCCTATGCTGGCGGCCCGGACACGGCGAACGCAAAGGCCCGCACCCATGACTTCCTGGCCCGACATGCAACACATCACCATCGCGGACTTCGAGGCGCGCCGGCAAAGCGCGGTCAAGCTTGTCGCCGAAGGCGAGTCGATGCCGCTCGAGATCGCCGAGATCAACCCGATGGGCCAATCGCAGCGCGAGGGCGGCGCCTTTTCGGTGGTGCTGCGCGGGCCGCGCGAACCGGTGGTCGACCAGGCGACGCACCATCTGGTGTTCGAGAAGGACGGTCCGATCGACCTGTTCCTGGTGCCCGTCGGCGAGGACGCCTCGGGCATGCTCTATGAGGCGGTGTTCACCTGACGGCGAGCTTCGTCGCCGCTCAGTCGGCGTCCCGGCGCATCAGCCAGTAAACGCCCTTGTCCTCGCGCGGCGTGAAGCCGAGGCGCTCGTAAAGCCGCATCGCCGGATTGTTCTTTTCGACATGGATGCCGACGCCGAGGCCGCCGGCGCCGGCCAGCGCGATGACGTCCTCCATCATGGCGCGGCCGAGCCCCTGCCCGCGAACATCGGGCATCAGGGCGATGTCGATGACCCGGATCTCCGAGGGCCAGCGCTCCAGATAGAGCCGGCCGGCCGGCGCGCCGCCGCGCTCTGCGATCAGCCAGTCGGCATCCGGATAGTGCTCCATATAGTGGGCGTGCTGGGCTTGGAATTGCTGGTCGAGGAATGCCGCCTTCTGCGCATCGCTCCACGGGAGCGGCGCGACCTCCTCGGCGCGGGTGGCGGCATAGAGCGCGGACAGAAACCCCATGTCGGCGTCGGCGATGCGGCGGAAGGCCAGGCCGTTTGCGGCGGCGCGCGGCAGATGCGGCAGCGTCCGCGCGGCGGGCGCCCCGCCGGCCGCCGGCGCATGTGTCGGCATGTCAGTTCGTCTCGGGGGGTGTCAGGTCGCGCACGACGCCATAGGTGAAGATGCCATTGTCGGCCAGCATCGACCATCCGGCGGACCAGCTCGTCGAATCGGTGACGAACTGGGTGACGATCTTCAGGCTGTTGGTCTTGCTCATGCCCTGGAAATAGGTCAGCCGGCCATCGGCATTGTAGTCCATCTTCATCAGGCCGAAATCCTCGACCTTGCCGACCTGCTCCCAGGCCGTCCATTGCTGCAGCAGCGAATCGACCTGCTGCTTGTAATAGAGCTGCGCATGCTCGCCGACGGCCATCAGCGAAATGTGCCCGTCACCGTCGATCGCCGAGGTGACATTGAAGATGACGCCGCCCGTCATGCCGGGCCGCACCCATTCGCTCCAGCCCTCACCACCGGGAGGATCCTGCCGGATCTGCACCACTTCGGCCAGATTGCCGACCATGAAGATGTTGACCGCGCCCTGCCGGTCGAGAACGGCGGTCGGCACCGAACCGGCGCCGCCGCTCATCGCGTCATCGATCCGGACCCAGCCGGTCCAGTCGCCGGCCGCCAGCGCCGTGCCGGTCTTTTGCTGGTTGACATAGACCGCGCGGTCCTTGGGATCCTGCCCCAGCCCAATCACAAGAACGCGGCCATCGGCGTTGTTGGTGACGGCGATGGACGACACGTGCTCACCGGGCAACGGAATCCAGGCGCTCCACGGCTCGTCGGGCGGCTCGGCCACCTTGACATGCACGGTGATCGGTTCGGTCTGGCCGGGCGGCGTGATCTGCTCGGTCTTGTCGACGATCTTGGGCGGGTTCTGATAGATCCACCAGACATTGCCGCCGGAATCGTCGACACCGAAAATCTCGATCCGCCCGTCGGCGTCGCGCGTCATCGCGAGCACATGAAACCCGGCAAGCCCGTCCGGCATGCCAAGGCTCACAGGCGCGTTCCAGCGCTCGGCGCCGCCGGGCCCCTGCGGCGCCTCGTCGATATAGTGCACCGCAAGCGGCGCATCCTTGGTCTGCGCGACAAAAGCCACACGGCCATCGGTGGTCGAGCCGGTGCCGAGCACGATATAGGCGTTATCGTTGATCGTCGCCCATGTGCCGCTCCACGGCCCGTTCGGCGCGGTCTGCGCGGTCCACATGGGCTTGTTGCCCTGATTGACGTCGAGCCCGACCACCATCAGCCGCGACAGTTCGGCGAACGGCGTCTCTTCCAGTTCGCCAGCGGCCGGCAGGCCGGTTTCGTCTTCAAGGTCGATTTCGGTGCGTTCGGCGTCGCTCATGGTCGCGCTCCCTGATGTCCGTCTTGTCGGTCGGCTAGCCGCGCGACGGGTAAAGCCCGACCAGCGCGATGATGAAGTTCATCACCAGAAAGGGCTGCAAATTGTTGTGGGCCTGACTGCCGCCGGCATTTGGCAGCGCCGCCATCGGCACGAGATTTGCCGATGTGTTCGACTGGTAAAGCGAACCGCCCCTTGACCTTGCCAAGGCAACATTGGCCGCCAGCGTGCCCTGTTCACCATTTTCGCCCGACGCGCGCATCGTGTGGTTGTGGTTGGGCATTTGCGCTTCGCTCAGCGTCACCATCTCGGTGCCGCCGCGCTGGCCCAGGCGCCGCGATGTCAGCCCCGGCCCGCGGCCGGGATGCATCGGCGCACGCCCCTGCATGTTCGGCAGTGCGGTGGTCGACCGGCCGTCACCGCCATAGGTGGTGCCGATCAGCGAAAACAGGGCCGTGTTCTGCGAAATCGGCAGCAGCTGGCCGTTGCAGAACGCCCAGCCGCGCGGCGCGAAATTGCCGGCAAAGATGCGAATCTCGGCGGTGAACGGTTCGGACATGGTGCGTCTCCCTCAGTGCCGGCTCGGATAGATGCCGAACAGCGCGATGATGAAATGGACGCACAGATACGGCATCAGATTCGTGTGCGATTGGCTCCCACCGGTCCGGGAGACCGCCGTCGCGGCCATGTTCACGTCAAGCGCCTCTGTCGCGCTGAAAGGTTCGAGCACCGTACTGGTGCCAAGTCGGTTGCCGGAAGGATCGGGCAAGTTGGCGTTGCTGGTCGTTCCCTGCTCGGGATGGGTATGGCTTGGCAGTTGGTTGACCGTAAGCGTGACCTTCTCGGCGCCACCTTTCGCGCCCAGCCGGCGTTCCGAAAGGCCCGGCCCGTGGCCGGCGTGGATCGGCAGCCGCCCGCGCATGTCCGGCAAGCCGAAGGTGGTGCGGCCATCGCCGCCATAGATGGTGCCCAGAAGCGAGAACAGCGCATCGTTCTGCGACACGGCCAAAAGCTGGCCATCGCAAAACGCCCAGCCGCGCGGGGCAAAATTGCCCGCAAACATCCGGATTTCTCCGACGAAAGGTTCGGACATGTTCGCGGCCCTCCCAAGCCCTTGGTAACGTACTGGCGCCGATCAGTTGCGCGAGGGAAACAGGCCCTGCAGGGCGATGCAGAAATTGACGGCGATGTAGGGCTGCATGTTTTCGTGCGACTGGCCGCCGCCCACGTTTGCGATGGTGCCGGATCGCAGGTTTGCCAGATTGCTCGCCGACGCGGAGTATGGCCCGCCGACCTCTCGCGCGAGAACGGCGCCGGTCGTGTTGATCGAGTTTCCGTCGGTCGACGACGCCTCAACATTGTGCGTGTGTTGCGGCATCTCGTTGGCCGCAAGCGCGTGGGTTTCCTCACCGCTCTTCTGCCCCTCGGTGTGGAACTGGCCGCCATTGGAGCGGCCGGTATGCATCGGCGTGCGTCCGCGCAGATCGGGCAGAGCGAAACTCGTTCGCCCGTCGCCGCCATAGGTGGTGCCCAAAAGAGAATAGAGCGACTGGTTCTGATTGATCGGCAGAATCTGCCCATCGCAGAAAGCCCAGCCTCGAGGCGGAAAGTTGAACGCCATTATGCGAACTTCGGCAAGGAACGGTTCGGACATTCGGAAACCCCTCGGCGAAACTGGTCAGCCAAGCCTACTTGTCAGCATTATGTCATTTTTTACTGGCTGTCTTTTTTGAAGGCTGCATGACAATCGCCCTTACTGTCAATGAAATATTTGAAGATTATTTGTTGCACTGCAATGACTTGTCGCCTTTGCCGGGTATCGGAACACTCTTCTATCGGAAGGTGCAACGCACCCTGCGGGGGATGCCGGCCAACGCGGATACACCGCGACCACGAGCGTCTCGCATTGCCGAGCTTTCAGGCGTCGACAAGGCAAGGCGCCCGCCGGCGCCAGGATGACACGGGGCGGAGCCGGCGTGTTGGCCTACGGTCCGTGTCGGCCTCTACGGCCTATGGCAGCGCACAGGGTGCCACACCGAAACTGATCGTGCCGGCGGTCTGCCGCAGGCGCATGACGCCGGTTGTGGCGTTGAACGGCGTATCGCCTCGGATTGTGCCGAAGAAGGCATGCCGCTGATGCTCGAGCAGATCGTTGTGCCTATGGCAATGTGCAGGCAGCACTGCCGAAGTTGATTGTGCCAGTAACCGTTACAATACCGGTTCCGCCATTCACAGCCTGTATATTGGCACCGCTTGTCTGAACAGAGTTATGCGTACCAGCAGTCTGTCGAACCCGGATTATTCGGGAACCCGCCCCGAACGGGCCTCCATCAATGGTTCCAGAGAAGGAGTTGCCGGAAATGTTCGAGCAGGTCGTTCCGCCCGCAATTGTGTTGGCAACCTGGATCGGCCGGAAGCCATGTTCTCTGAAGACGTTGTTGGTGATGGTGATGTTGCTGGTTCCCGCCATCACGTTGTTAGAGGCGAACACGCCGTCAAAACTTGCGATCTCCTGAATCGTGTTGTTGTTGATGTTGACGGTCATGGTGCTGCCGCCCTCGTTGCCGACACGGATGCCGCTGCCCAGTTGCGATCCCGACCCGGCCGTCCCGAGCGTGCCGATCGTGTTGTCGGTGATCGTGGCGCGGAGTGTGCCGACACCGGGCCCAAGCGTGCCGTTGGTGAACAGGTTGATCGCATTTGAGCGGATGCCGGTGATGGTATTGCCAGCGGTGCCCGCATCAGCGCCGTCACGGATATTGACAGTGAGGTCAGGTCCGGCGCCGACGCCATCTGAATCCAGGGTGCCGGAAATGGCGACATTCATGCCATTGAATGTGCTGTCCTCGACGGTCAGCGTGCCGACATGACCGCGGCCGACGTCCAGTTCCAGGCCGGTGCCCTGCAGACCGCCGGCAGCCCCCGACGCTGTGCCGTTGCCGAATATGGACGTGTTGACCGAAACGTTCGTCGTTCCGGCACTGCTTGTGTTCACGCGGAGACCACCCGCTCCCACACCGGCCAATGTTTCCTGGAAGGTCGATCCGGTCACCGTCATGGTCAGGTTGCCACCGGCGGCGGTTCCCCCATCGCCGGTATTGTCGATGGCAAACAGATCGCTGCCCGTATCCCGGTTGATGAGGTTGGTGATGGTCACAGTGCCCGTCAGGCCCTGGAACTGGATGTTGTCCTCTCCAGCCGCATTGCCGAAGGCCTCGACGGTCGTATCGGTGATCGTCAACCCGGAAACAGATTGACCGGAAATGCCCACCTGACCGGCATTGTTGTTGCCATTGATATCGAGATTGTTGAGCGTCAGATTGGTAACGTTGGTCAGCTTCACTCCCGCATTGTAGTTCGCGATATTGCCGCCGAACACGGTTGAACCCGCGCCTTGCGTCGTTGCCACATTGGTCAGGTTCATGTTGCGCAGATCGACATTGCTGGCATTGGCGAGCTGAATGGCGTTGCCCGTCACATTCTGGATCGTGCCGCCGGACCCGTCCGTGGTGCCCGTTCCCGTCACCGTAAACCCGCCCGCACCCGTATTGTTCAGCACGATGGCGTTGGTTCCGCCATTTTGGGTCACGCTCTGGAATGTCACGCCAGCCGCGCCGATCGTTGTGGCATTGATGGTGACGGCGGTTCCGGTCGTACTCGTAACGGAATTGCCGGTGCCCTGGACGGTGACGGCGCCGCCGCCGGTGGCGCTGAAACCCGTGCCGGAAGTGGTGTCGATATCCAGCCCGCCATTGGTGAAGTTCACCGTCCCGTTGGTATTGCCGGTGACGACGACACCCACGTTCGTGACCGTATTGACCTGCTTGGTGGTGCCCGAAAAGGTCACCGTCGCGGCCGTACCATTGTTGATGCCGCTGACAAGCAGGCCGCCCCCAGTGGCGTTGTTGTCGGTGAAATTGCCCGAAAGCGTGACCGAACCGCCCGTCAGTTCGGCCACTTCGGCGGCCAGACCGGTCGCGCCGGACGAGTTGACGTTCGTCGCGATGTTGATCGTCGCGTTGCCGCCGCTGGTGTTCGACCCGGCAGAACCAATCCTGATGGCCTGGAAGTTGCCCGTATTCGTGATTGTGCCGCCTTGAACGGTCAGACTTCCGGAGACGGTTTGCAGGTCGATGGCGCGATCGCCGCTGATGGCACTCACGTTCACGCTGGCGAATGTGGCGTTGAGCGCAGCATTGAAATAGCCGCCGATGGCCATTCCGCTCGTCGTCTGGATCGTGTTGCCCAGGCCCGAGACATTGACAGTGCCGCCGCCGGCCGCCCGGAACGCCCTGCCGACGGTCGTCGTGATGGCCAGTCCGCCATTGGTGAAATTGATGGTCGACGTGCCATTGTCTCCAACCGCCACGGCCGCGCCGGCCGCGCCGGTCGCACCGGTCCTGTTGACCACCTTGCTGGCGCCCGAGAAGGTATAGGTGCCTGCGGTGTTGGCTGCGACCGAAATCGCGGCATTGGCACCGGACAGGTTCAGGTTGCCCTGGAAATCGACGGTGCCGGCAGTGTTGCTGCCGGCGCTGATCCCACTGCTCGTTCCCGTCGTCGTCACTGAACCGCTAATGGTGACATTACCGCCACTGCGGTTGATCACGTTCGCGCCGGCGCCAGAAGCGCCGCTATGGGTCACGTTCGCGGCGATATTGACGGTCGTGTCGCCTCCATTGATCTGGAGTGCGTTGTCTGTCTGGGTGGCGGTCGCGCCGAATGTGCCGCCGTTGATGTTGACCGTGCCCGTCGGCGCGAAACCACCGGTTTCGCCAACGAAGAGACCGCCCTGACCACCGTCGATGTCCACGGTCGTGAAGGTTACGGTTCCTGCCGGATCCACGATTCTGATGCCGGTGCCACTCGCATTGTCGATGGTTGCCGAGGCAAAGCTCATATCGGAGGTCGAACCCCCGGTTATCTCTATGCCGTGATTGAAACCGCCGCCGTTGGTGCCGGCACTGGTGACCGCGCCGCCGTTGAACGCGCCGCCATCCACATCCGACAGGAAGATCGCGTCGCCCGCCACCGAGCCGCTGTTCTGCAGCGAATCGAAGTTGACGCCAGTGCCGATCGTGACCTGGTTCAGGCTCAGCACCTGACCCGTCGTCGTGTTGATCGTCTCGGTGCCGGCATTGGCGACGTTGAGCGTCAGCGAGCCGCCGGAACCGTCAGCGATGAAGCCGGTGCCGGTCGTCGTGTCGATGTCGAGACCGCCGGTGAAGCTGACTGTCCGGTTGCCGGCACCGTCGATCTGAACACCACCGCCGGCAGTGCCCGTATTGTCGATGACCGTGTTGCCGAAACTGATCGTACCGTCCGAGGCGTTGACGTGAATGCCGGCGTTGGTCGAGTTGGTGATGGTCGTTGTGCCCGTGACCGTGAAAGTGGAGCCGGCGCTGCCCAGATCGATCTCGACGCCTGAGTCGGTCGAATTGGTCGAGGTCACGTTCTGCAGCGTGATGTTTGTGACCGTCGGGTTGATGAACACCGCCGTGCCGTTGTTGGAGGTGATCTGGTTGGTGCCACCCGGATCGTTGACGGTCACCGTACCCGAGTCGGTCGCACGGAAACCGAACGCGCCGACGCCGTTCACGGTGATGTCGACGCCGTTGAACGTGTAGGTGCCGGTGTTCGCGCCGCCTGCGCTGGTGCCCAGATCGACGCCGTCGCCATCGAAGCCGACGGCATTGCTGATCGTCGTCGTGCCGCCGAATGTGACATTGCCGGCCGAATTCTCGATCCGGATGCCGTCCAGCACCGCATTGTCGATGGTCGTTGTGCCCGTCACGCCGACCGCGGCGCCGGCAATATCCACATTGTCCACCCAGAAGCCGGTCCGGGCCTGGTTTGTGGTCAGCGACGCGAAATCGGTGCCGAAACCGGTTGCGCCGGCACCGACACCGCTGACGAGAACGCCGAGCGTCGTGGTGGTTCCGCCCAGCCCTATTCGGGTGGCGCCGAAATCGATATCGACGCCGGTGCCGCCGATGCTGTCGATCACGATGCCGCGACCGGTTGCCTGGGCCGCCGTCCGGTTGATGTCGGTGGCGGCGAAATCGATGTCCTGATTGTTGCTGCCCAGGTTCG